ACTGTAACACCCCCTACAATAACCTTGTGACACCCCTCCCCCAACTCCTTTTTGGGTCAAGACCCCTACAGTTAAAACACCATGAAATTTCAGATTTAGAAAGCTGAAATCATTAAATTTACAATTTTTAAATTCCTGTGACTGTGAAATTGACCAAAATGGTCCATGAATCTGATAGGGCCCTAATTACTCGTCTTCTCTTCACATTGACAGTTCTGATCTATAAATATATGGGAAATCTTGGTTATACTTAGCATTAATGTTTGTATCAACATGGGCCATATAATATGTAATCAGTAGCACCTGGACTTTCATATTACATTCAAGAAGTTGTAATTATTTAACAATGACTCTCTTCTTCACTGCTCGATAATGATCCAAAGCAGAGCGGACCGATGCATGTTCATTTTCATCATCTGAGTCAGATGCCACCAGCAGAAGTATGCTTTTCTTTTTTGGTGGTTTGGGTTCTGTAGTTTCCACATCGAAATGTTGCTCTTTTAAGACTTCTGAAAGCATGCGCCACACCTTGTTCCTCTCAGATTTTGGAAGGCACTTCAGATTCTTAAACCTTGGGTCGAGTGCTTTAGCTATTTTTAGAAATCTCACATTGGTACCTTCTTTGCATTTTGTCAAACCTGCAGTTACAGTGTTCGTAAATCAAACATATGCTGGATCATCATCCGAGACTGCTACAACATGAAATATACGGCAGAATGCAGGTAAAACAGAACAGGAGACATACAATGCTCCCCAAGGAGTTTAGTCACAAATTTAATTAACACACTATTTTTTTTAACGAACATCATCAGCATGGAAGCATGTCTTTCGGAATGGTGGCTGAAGCATGAAGGGGCATACGAATGTTCAGCATATCTGGCACGTAAATACCTTGAAATGCTAGCTACAAAAGTGCCATGCAAATGCCTGTTCTCAGTTTCAGGTGATGTAAATACGAAGCAGGCAGCAGTATCTCACGTAAATGTAAACAAACTTATTTGTCTTCGTGATTGGCTGAACAAGAGGTAGGACTGAGTAGACTTGTAGGCTCTAAAGTTTTACATTGTTTTGTTTCTGAGTGCAGTTGTGTAACAAAAAAATACATTTGTAAGTTACACTTTCACAATAGAGATTGCACTACAGTACTTATATGAGGTGAATTGAAAAATACAATTTGTTTTGTTTATCATTTTTACAGCGCAGATATTTGTAATAAAAACTAATCTACAGTGAGTACTGTACACTTTGTATTCTGTGTTGTAATAGAAATCAATATATTTGAAAATGTAGAAAAACACCCACAAATATTTAATAAATTTCAATTGGTATTCTATTGTTTAACAGTGCAATTAATCACGATTAATTTTTTTAATTGCAGTTAATTTTTTTTAGTTAATCACGTGAGCTAACTGCAATTAATTGACAGCCCTAATTGCTGCAGAACCTTGTGGCCCCAAATCAGAATCAGATTCCCATTTTGCTGGCACTGTACAGCACATACAACATTTACTCCCTTAAGAGTTTGTAATCTAAAGAGCTAATTTTATGTATCATCTGATGTATTGTTTGGGTTGTGAAAATTTCCGGTGACGTTATTAAGTCCAGAGGTTCACGTTATGTACTGTAAGTTGCAAAGAAACTTATAAGTATAAGTTTCAGTGCCCTTATTGTTGTGATTCTTCCGTACACCTCCATATACCATCCTTTTTATAGCCTTTGAAAACAAATGATCGTTTAAATTCTTCCCCTCTAAGATTTGGACATTCTGATGAAGTACATAACTTTAATTTGCAGAGCTCAGAGAAAGCACACTCACTTGGGTTCAGTGAAGATGACAGCGTACAATAGATTGCTTTGTACCCTTCTGTCAGAGGGATAAAGCAGTAAAACAAGGGCTCAGTTATTTGTGTGCTAGAGGGGCAGTGGTTATCTGGCAATATGACAGGTTTGCTAATGGTACCTGACAGGAGTGTCACAAAGGAATAATTGTTAAGAACCTTCCTGTAACATAATACTTAAACACCACAAATGCAGGATCCCATTTGACAATTGATCTAGTTTAGATGCATAACCTATTTGCTTACTTCCAATAGGAAGTGTTATCATTGCCTGATTTAATGGGGTTTGGGGCATGGTTCTATCAACAGATATTTATTTAATTGTAATGTAATACTTGGCAGTTTAACAGCACTTTCTTAGCCTATCTATAGATCTCAAAGCACTTTTGAGGGATATTATTGCCTTTTTGCAAGTGGTGTAACATAAGCTATTACCAGCAGGACAGTGGGGTGGGAGGAGGTATTGTTTCATATTCTCTGTGTATATATAAAGTCTGCTACAGTTTCCACGGTATGCATCTGATGAAGTGAGCTGTAGCTCACGAAAGCTCATGCTCAAATAAATTGGTTAGTCTCTAAGGTGCCACAAGTCCTCCTTTTCTTTTTGCGAATACAGACTAACACGGCTGTTACTCTGAAACAGGCATAGTGGTTGTGGCGCAAGGTGACGCATCTAGTTGAGTGGCTCTCAATGTTTCCAGACTACTGCACCCCTTTCAGGAGTCTGATTTGTCTTGTGTACCCCCAAGTTACACCTCATTCAAAACCTACTTGCTTACATAATCACACATAAAAACACAAAAGTGTCACAGCACACTGTTATTGAAAAATTGCTGACTTCCTTTTACCATATAATTATAAAATAAATAAATTGGAATATAAATATTGTACTTACATTTCAGTGTATATTATATAGGGCAGTATAAAGTCATTGACTGTATGAAATTTTAGTTTGTACTGACTTCATGAGTGCTTTTTACGTTGTCTGTTGTAAAACTAAGCAAATATCTAGATAAGTTGATGTATCCCCTGGAAGACTTCTATGTACCCCAAGGGGGTGTACCCCTGGTTGAGAACCACTGATCTAGTCAGTGATGATGAGAATTAGGGATAGAATATGAGTTCTTTTTCCCTGACCTGGGCTCACTCTGTTACAGCAACAGCTGCCCCTCATGATTAACGTGACTAGCTGATTTTCTTGATTATTGTATATTTCACTACTCTGATTATTAAGATCTGATTCTCTCAATTGCAGCAGCCAAATACAGCAACAATACTATATAAAGAGAGCTTTGTAGAGAGAGCGTTAATTATTTAAATGATTTCTAAACCTAGTTTTATTATCTTAACCATTTTTATGTTTTAAACTGCAAAAATCTGTCAGCATAGATAAGTCAGTAGAAGGTGCTCCAGAAAAATCCATTTCCATAGTAGAAAGCTAAAGACCTTTTAAGGGGGAGTGTGGAAATTTTTTTTTTTTAAATGTGTGCCATTTGTTGTAATCTGCCAGAAGCATAAAGGCCACAATATTCAGATCCTTAATTCATGTGCTAGTTATCCCATGAGATACCGAAAACAGGTATGCAAAGCACATAGTTAACAGTCTCTAGTTGCAAACGATTTGATCTATTACATTTCAGGTGATCTCTAACTCTGTGTTCAATTTTTTCACACACCGCTAATTGTCATGGTTGGGGCATATATGCTATAAGGAGTTTTGAAATGGAATCACTGTGGTGACAGTTAACATTTTTGTTGTGGTTCCAGCTTTGGTGGAGCTCTTCTACTTTTACCTGTTTGAGCTAACCACTGGACTGCAGTAGTGGGTAGCTCTTGAATTGTGGGCTTTGAGAGTCATTGCACGTGGCATCTCCCAGAACAAAATAAGAAACTGCTGCTGAAGCGCACATGTAGTTTTTAATGGTAGGGACTAAGTTCAAATGTTAGTGTTTTTTTTAAACCTGATAAGGACAGGCTTTACAGAACAGTCATTAGAATCCTGTGAGAATTTGTAAATCAAAAATTTGTATTTTGGATTTATTTTTTTTCAATTTGCAAATCTCTAATAGGATTTACGGATCCAAAGTGGGATTTGTAAACTTTCATCAGGGTTTGTAAATCCATTTTCTTATAAGTCAATAAATCAAATAAAGAAGCTAAATCTAAGGGTGCAAGATAAAAGCTTGCAAATCAAAACAATAATTTTAAGACTTCCAGACACAGTTTACAAATTTGAAATAAAATGTCTGGCTTTATTATTTGTAGATTAATAAATACAACCATACATGATTTTCTGATTAGTGATGAACACATTGGTGACGCAGGCGACATTGAATCTCCAGCTGGGCTCTCAGTTGATAATGCAGTCACATGCCTGGATTGTACAGGTTCCCTCTATTACCTGCGTGTGAAGCAGCTGCAAGCACTGTAAGATGTGTGTTTGTTTTTAAGCCCAGTATGCCAGTACTTTTTGTATGCTATCCTGCAGTAGTCTCTCATTAAACTGTAGGCTGTATGCTATTATTCAGTTCCTGAGCCATTCTACTCATTCTAGCCATTCCCCTAAAGTGGTTTGGAATTTCAGTAGTCCTTAGCCAGCACCGCATCTGTTGTGGCCAGTAATCCTTAGCACTTTAGTACTTCACCTATATTTTCTTACTGTTGGCGGCAGACAACACTAAGATTAATGTTGCACTTATGCTGCTTCATGGGTTTACGTGTTCTTTGACGCATAAATATGGGTTGGCTAAAAGTATTCTGCTCTTAGCTTTTAGTAAAGTTTTAAAGTCTTAACATTTCATCTGTCCTGCCTTAAAGGGGTGAGTCTTGTCACAGAGACTCTTGTTCAATGTCAACAGGACTGGTGAAAATCTAATAATCCAGGAGCCAGATTATCAACTGGTTATAAAAAAGCGTAGCTCGATTGACTTCAGTTTAAGTCCGTGGAGCTACATCAATTTACACCAGCTGAGGATCTGGTCCCAGGAGCATGCAGCTTTTCTGACCAATCCAGTGCTTTTGAATAAACTAAGTTGTAGTTTCCTTTCTATTTTAGATTTTGCAGAGATGTTTACTGCAGTGAAATGCAGATTAGTTGATATGAGCATCATCTTAAATATTTTTTGCAAGTTTTTCATTATATCGTTTTCTTATATTTTAAAGGAAAAGTGATCAACAAAGACTTGCGTCACTACCTGAGCCTGCAGTTCCAGAAAGGCTCAATAGACCATAAACTCCAACAAGTGATCAGAGACAATCTTTACCTGAGAACCATCCCATGTAAGTATGTAGAGTGCTAGCATAAATTAATCTATTTCAGTTAAACTCACATAACTCAAGAATCCTGTAAGCTTTTTCCCTTTGATCCTGTGTTGTTTCACATTTCCACCCTTTCAGTGAGGATTCCTTTGCATAAAGGCTATTTTTAGGTAGCCTCTTTGTTAGAATCCATATTAAGAAATGTTCTAAGTTAACTTGGGATGCAATGGAAAATTAGTCTATTGATAATCTTATTTTTATATATTAAAGAATTGACAAACCAGCAAAAATGTCAAAATTCCAAGTTCAGAGGACTTCAAGAGTGTCTGTCTTTTTTAAAACTCATTGGTACTGCCTCTAAACACCATTAAAGAATGCAACAAATAAAGATTTCATGTCAGCATAAGAGTAAGTAAACCTAGCGGGAGTGAGACATCTTTACTATAACTAGTATAATATAACTCTCACCATTGATTTTGGGGCAGTCTCTCTCACACACGCACACACCCGCCTAGCCAGTTTTGTGGCTTTTCACAAAGGGGAGATTAAGATCTCCAGGTGACCACCTGTAGTTAGGCTGGATGTTAGAGAAAATGGAAAGGAAGGAAAGGGTATAATTGTAGAAGAGCTGTTTGTGAAGAAGGAGACTGAGCTGGAACACAACCAGGTGGGGTGCACAAGGGAAGTTATGGGTGCACTTGTAACATGTCTGAGCCTGAAATTTAGTGGGATGGAGGAGGGACCTATAGCATGGTCCACTGGTTGGGGAAAGGAGGAGTGGTCTTTCTAAATTAGAATAGGCACAGTAGAGTTGCAGAGCAAGCATTAACGAGAGGGCACCATGGGATGAGCCTCACCTCTTAATCCACTGCAGGCTGGAATGGCTGGCATCTCGTAGTATTTTCCCCATCCATAAAGCCCACCTGCTAACATGTCTTCAGCCAGGAATCATTAAGAGGTTGCTGCTCCTGCAGCCTGAGTGAAAAATCATTATCTTCTCAATTTCTCTCACTTCAGTCACCCATCACTGATCAGCTTCAAAGGCTCTTATAAATATGGTTAAAATGCTTAATGCTGATTGCCTGCTTGTATGATGATATTGGGCTCTTAGACTTTACAGAGGATAAAATTGTTCATTGGAGCAGCACATTTTAAGCTCATTATCGTACTTAATTACTAAAAAACAAAGTATTCAGTGTACTTTTGATGCAAGAATATTTACAAATTAATTAACAAACAAGCCAAGGCAAAGCTTTACTGAAGTGAATGGCTTTCTGGTGGCAACGGGTACTGTATGGCATGCACATGGCATTCATTACATGACTGATATAGGACAGTTCTGACCAAACATAAGGTCTAAAGCACCTCATTTGTATTCACTACTATGAATGGTAATGGATAATGAACACCATTTTGCAATTGTGAAATGCAATCTGAAATTTTTTTTAGGGAGTTATGAGGACCCAGTTGGGTTATCATAGCTTTTAGAACCACCACAAACTGACAGCTTGGATAAAAATAATGTACTTTTCTAGCTTATCAGAGAGTATCTTTCAGTTTAAAGGACATCCCCATAATTATCACACAGACCTCCTGTCTGTGTGATGCTTTTCGCATTATCATGACATTCCATTTCTCAATTATCCAAAAGCCACGCTGTACTTTCCATATGAGGTATTTACTCATTAGAATGACTGATAACAAGTTTTATTTGAAGTATTTTAATTAAAAAACTTGAATATTAAATTAACATGGCACACATTACATTAATAAAAAACTGGCTGATAGGTCTCAAATGTAATTGTAAATAGGGAGTCGTCATCAAGTGGATGTGTTTCCAGTAGGGATCAGTTCTTCATCCTATGCTGTTTCATATTTTTATCAATGACCTGGAAGAAAACATAAAATCAGCATTGATAAAATTTGCAGATGAGACACAAATCTGAGGAGTGGTAAATAATTAAGAAGACAGGTCATTGTTTCAGGGCGATCTGGATCACTTGGTAAACTGGGCATAAACACTATGTTTTGTAATATGGATTAATGGGAATGTATACATATAGAATCAAAGAACATGGGCCATAATTACAGGAGGAGGACTAAGCGGGGAAGCAGTGAGTCTGAAAAGATTTGGGTGTTATGGTAGATAATCAGCTGAACATGAGCTCCCAGTTTGACATGATGGCCAAAAGAACTAACGGGATCCTGGGATGCACAAACAGGGGAATCTCAAGTAGGAGAAGAGAAGTTACCTTACCACCATTTTTGGCACTGGTGCAATAGCTGCTGGAATACTGTGACCAGTTCTAGTGCCCACAATTCAAGAAAGATTTGGTAAATTGGAGAAGGGTTCAGGAAGAGCCATGAGAATGATTGAAGTATTAGAAAAATGCCTCATAGTGATAGATTGAGCTCTGAGAGTCTTATTTGTCTTACCAAAAGAAAGGTTAAGGGGTGACTTGATTACAGTCTGTGAATGTCTACATGGAGAACAAATATTTAATAGGCTCTTCAGTGTATCAGAGAAAGGTATAAACTGATATGGTAGCTGGAAATCGAAGCTAGACAAATTCAGAGTGGAAATAAGGTGTAAATTTTTAACAGTGAGTAATAAACAGTTGGAAAAATTTACCACATGTCATGGTAGATTCTCCATCACTGACAATTTTTAAATCAAGATCAGATACTTTTCTAAAAGGATATTTTTCTATGAATTATTTTGGAAGTTCTATGGCCTATATTATAGGGGAGGTCAGATTAGATGGTCACAGTGGTCCCTTCTTGCCTTATATTAATCACATGTTAAAGTGTGTTTTGTCATAGCGTCAGGCATGTAATTTTTTTAGCACATTTTTTATTTACCTATTATTTTGTGACCAGTTTTCAGAGTAACAGCCGTGTTAGTCTGTATTCGCAAAAAGAAAAGGAGTACTTGTGGCGCCTTAGAGACTAACCAATTTATTTGAGCATAAGCTTTCGTGAGCTACATCGTGAGTGTTGCATCCGATGAAGTGAGCTGTAGCTCACGAAAGCTCATGCTCAAATAAATTGGTTAGTCTCTAAGGTGCCACAAGTACTCCTTTTCTTTTTGTGACCAGTGTAATTAATGGCTTGGATCTTGGCAAGTTGATAATGAGTGGTTCTAAGATTCAGCATACCCAGGATTACACCAGGGGAAGCAAAATATTCACTTCATTTTATGAGTGAAAGAATGAGGAGTTTAAAAAAAAACCAGTGTAATGGAAATGAGGTTCACTTACTGACGGAGCTGTTCACATTGTTCATTGGAGTAAAATTGACAAGTTTTTAAAAGATTGTTGAGGTTAAAGAAGATGGGATGCAATAATGAATCACTGTAATCCTTGCTTCAGGAGAGCGTTAATCACGCTTCTGTTAACTAGAGCTTCCTTGTTTGCTCGACTTGTACATTTTGAACATTTCTGAATTAGCATGACCCGTTTGCTAGATTGCTTTGAAAGTTTAGGTTTTTTGCTATCCAGCATTGTTTACTTTTACTTTTTTGCTCTCCAGCTACCGGATCAGTTTATACCTTTCTCTGCTACACTGAAGAGACTGTTAAATGTTTGTTCTCCATGTAGACGTTCACAGACTGCAATCAAAAACTCATGCAGTGGCAATATCTGCCACTTGGGTAATATACTTGCCACTTGGGTATATACTTGGGTCCCATTGTGAATTATGAAAGCAGAAACAAATTCATCTAATAATATAGAGTACAGGCATACAAATGACTGAAAAGACTGAAATAAATTTGATCCAAACCAATTATGTAATAGGGGGTCAGAAATCAATTTTGCTTTGTTAGTGACATCATTAATTACTAAATTTTCCAAGAGCATTCAAGAGACATTAAGGAAGTGATACATCATCATAATGGTAGCAGACTATATACAGCTATTCCACAACCCCCCAAAAAATTTCAATTAATATTGCTTGGCCCAGGTCTTCACCAACTTCTGTACAGTAAATCAGTCAGGCTCATAGCATGTGTGAACATTTTTCTTTCTCACATCACTTCGTCCTCCAGCTTTTTATTGTCTCTGTCTTCCTCTCATCATCATTTATAATTTCTAAAACTCTCTTCCTCCTAAAATCATAGCAAGATGATTGATGCTCCCTCATTACCTCCAAGTTTCCTATCTTTTCAACAGTGTGTGCCTGTATGCTGATATAGCCCAGCACTCTATAACACTATCTCATTCTTTAAATAATAACTGCTTCATAGAAAGTTACATACAAGACATTTTCATTGTAATAATGGTTTTGCCTTATCTTTAATTGTTTCTGATTAGGTAACTCCTGCTAGCCATAACTTTGCTTTCAGTTAATGCTCTGCGTTGTGAAATTAGGAACACCCACATGTATGAATACCAACACTGCAGAATGGAAATCACTGATCTAACAAGTGAATAATTCGTTTGAGGAAAGAAAAAACATTGATTAGAAAATGCATTAAAAAAGGACAAAAAAGTTATTGAGCTGTGAATAGTATGAGTAAAATACACCTCTCCTTTCCCTGTGAAATAAGGAGACCCTAGTGATGAAATCAACAGGCCCTCCTTTTCTACAGGTTCGGAGGTGTGTTGAAACAGTATGTGATTCTAGGGGTATAATATTGCAGTTCTATAAGTAGCAAAACCAAACTCCAGTCTGATCACTATCATGTCTCCAAGAACAAAGCCCAAGATCTCAAAAATGAGGTCTTAAACTTAGGCTACTAACTCAGTACTTAGCCCAAATAAGTGACCTGATTTTCAGCAGTGCTGCTCACTGGGAGGTTCCGACTGACTTCAGTGGAATAGGCTGGGGTATAGAGCACCACTGATAAATACCCCGAGGAAGTAATTTGCATAGGAAGACCTTTTTAGTCTGTGTGACTTCCTGTCATCTACAAACTTCACTGGGATTTACATGCAGCACATTGGCATATCAGAGACCAGGGACCAAACTGACCCAGTCATTGCATAACCTCTGTTTAAAAGGATGATATGCATGATGAGAGACATCCAGGAAGGTGAAAGAGAGGAAATATTTGCCATTTCCTTTTGGTTATGTAGAATAAAATAAATAAATAAAACAATAAAAACTCAGGTTCACCAGTGAATCTCATTTGTTTTTGAGGAGTAAGTCTCATTGAAACCTCATGCTATTCTTTTCTGCAATATTCATCTACTGCATATTAACTTCTTCTGACCTGAGATGGTGTCTTTCTAGTGTGTGGGTGCTTTTCCACACTTAATTTATCTTGTGCTGTGGACTTAAAAAAAAATCTTTAGTTAATAAAGTAATTCAAGGAGTTGAAGTGAGTTAAGTTGATATTTAAACTGTGTTTCAACATGCGTTCCTTCACGCACCTAATGTTTCCATTGCACAGGGTAATATTCAGTTTGTGTCTTCAGTCTGTGTACAGTGAAGTGGCACAATTTGCATGGTATCAAAAAACTGTTTTTAATTAGTATTTTATGACACCGACATTCTCATCAGAACATTTACTATAAATTCTATGAGATGTCTACTGGCAAAAGTTAAATGTTAGTTTTATGTGAATGACCTAGCAATCAATCTAGACAAAATTGTGAGATGAGAATGTAATTGTCAATTTAAATTTTCATAAGATTAGATTGAGAGGTATAAACTGCTGTCATATACAGAGGTAGTTTATTGGGGGTGGGGATCGAAGGCTTATGAATGTTTCATATCAATATTTGTCATATGGGCACAAAAGCAAAGTGATTATTTTATTTCATCTTTGCCACATTAGAAAATTTAAATCTAATGGAATTCTTGACAAAGTGATCTAATACTGAAGTGCAGAAGCTATTGTCAATTGATTGTATTTTTCACATTGAAACATGATAACTTTAAACAATTTGAATGTTATGGATGGATTAGTGACTTGAAAAAAAGAAGTTCATTTGCCTTTATTCTTAAGATATTTCCACTTTCTACCCTCAGTATAAGATCAAAAGCCTTTTTCATTTAATAGATGTAGTTAAGATACATGTCAAAACATGTAATGAAAGTCAAAGTTTTCGTCATGACTAATGTTTAAAACTGTTCTAGATTCATTAGAAATTAAGTTTGTCAGGTATCCCATGTACAGTGTGATATGAAAAAGCATATGCTTGTTGCCAAAGTCACAGTTTCAAATGACAAGTTTCAGAGTAACAGCTGTGTTAGTCTGTATTCACAAAAAGAAAAGGAGTACTTGTGGCACCTTAGAGACTAACCAATTTATTTGAGCATAAGCTTTCGTGAGCTTCAAATGACGTAAGGGTTGTGTGTAATCCTGTAACTAAAAAGCAAGATAGAGGTCTATTTCCTCATGTTTTGTCAGGAGACTCCGTTCCTAGGAAAGTAGGAAGTTTTACATAACTAACAGGATTCTGGACTTGACTTAGCAGGTAAATAAATCACCCATTAGCACACCCTCTGAAGGGAAAGTTAATTAAAAGAACCTTGTACTACTTGTAGAAGTACCGGAGATGTTTTGGATTCATTGGCTACCATTCCTATGGCTTTCATTGTATGTAAACTTGTCACCATTAGCAGTTATAACAAAGATCTAAAGATCACAATGAGAGAAAAATTAGAACCAGTGTATTTGCTGCTGTTTTTCACTCATCCATTTGCTAGCAGATTGTCAAAATTCTAAAGAGCATGAAATGGATGTAAAATTAAGTATTGTCCAAGACAGTTCATAACCTGCAATCATCTGACAAGTTGCCAAATGAAATTCATTTTGTTTCTATTGTAACTATCAAGTTGTATATTTATTATTTATTCAGTAATTACAATAATTTGTATAGACTGGAAATTAAACTTTTTATAGTTTGTTTGTAAGTGACACTGATAGGATGAAATTTGCTTCACCTGCATTAAAAAACCCTTTGCAATCAGGGCCAGCTCTAGGTTTTTTGCCCCCCAAGCAAAAGATTTTCTGCCCCAAGCTCAGGTGGGGCTGAGGCTCGCAGCAGCGCTGGAAGCAGAGGGAGTGATGTCACTTTCTCCCAGCGCCTGCAGGGGCTTTCCCTCCTCCCCCGCCCGACCACGCCGAGAAGCCCCGAGTTAAGGGGTGGCACAAGGCAGCGCAGGATCCAGTACGCAGATGAGGCGGCTCAGCTCCTGCTCCCTAGCTAGTGCCTGGAGCCTGGCAGCTCGGTATCTTAGGGCTGGGGCTTCCCCTTCCCGATGCGGCCGGGGGCACGGCGCCCTCTCCCCATCTAAGTGGCTCAGCTCCAAGAGCGCAACTGCCCTGAAAAAAAAAGGATGCCGCCCCGGAAACGTGCTGCCCGCTTTGCTGGTGCCTCGAGCTGGTCCTGCTTGCCATCTGGCTTTATGTTGGTGAAAGGAACGTGAGCTGAGAGAAAAATCTACCCTCAACTTAGGTTCAGGCCACTAGGCTACAGTGCAACTCTCCTTTCTAAAATGGCTACTATTTATCCTGTATGCTGGAACTATAGTCTTCATTCCTCCGCACCATTTGTATGGAGCGCTAAGGCGGCTGGCCACAAAGATATGGCCACCCCTTGCCATTCTCTGTACTGGCCTATGAGAAGCCAGATGATGGTCTAGATACCCCTTTGCAGCATGCAGAGAGTGCAGAGGTCCTTCTGTGAAGCCTCTCCACTTGCAGCTTCTGCTGCACAGCCCCATTAGGTGCTAGAGAGACCCTTGAAAGGCCAATCTCAGCAGGATGAAATTTGCCCTGTTTTCATAATTTGATACGATTTAAAAAAACACCAAAGCTATTCCATGCTGTTTGAGTTTTATAGGAAGCAAAAAGCGTCAGATAGTTGGGGAGTAGTTCCTTTATGGATTTGTATGACTTGTCCAGAAAAATAGCCATGATCATAAAACTGTTAGGAATATATATAACTTACATCCCTAAAATAACTCAGAGCAACGAGCAATTGTTTGTATTTTAATAATGAAATCTTAAGATAGGGGCTTGTGTTGCAGGTGCAATTGTAACCTGAATAATAGAAGCGCGGAATTGTAAACTTCTTTGCTTTGTTTGTTCAGATTGAATTTTGACTATTATATAAATGGATTATAATTCTGTATATTGGTGAGTCTTTGTTCATTGCAAACCATAATATAGCAAGTGTTCAGAGTTGTTGCCATATTAATGAAAGTTGGAGACTGAGGAGTTCATAACACCGAGAAGTTCTTAAGATTGAACGTATCAGAATTACCAGAGGTAAGTTGCAGTATGGGTGTATTGCATCGCTTTCTTGTCCTTCAAACCACTGCAAAGCTATTCCCAATGTTTGAAGGCATCGGAATGTGAAGGGATGTTGACTTCTTTTTCCTTGACATCACTTTTTAGACATGTGATTGATTCATTATTTTCCAGTTGGGAAACGGGATTCATATAACTGGTTAGTCATAAGATTGACATTCATAAAATCAAGGTCCTGCTGTATTGGGATTTGAATGTTAATTCTTAGGAAGTTTAAACTCTGGTATCAAAATTCCTTTTTGTATGCCCTTCATAACAGTAGATATAATAAATTCATGAGGGCTTCCATTTCTTGTTCAAATATCCTTTCTTATTCTTACATAATTTATTGACCTAGTTTCACATACTCCAATGTTCACTTTCATGAGAATGTTCTGAACCTTCTCTTGCCAGAGTGGCACTGTAGCTGTGCAAAGCTTCAAATAACCACTGTTTCTTTTTATGTTGAATTCTGCAAGAGAGAGTATTTTGTAAGCCAACAGCACTAGACAACTATACAACAGTTTCTTCTCTGTCTTTTCAGGCACTACAAGGGCTCCCAGGGATGGAGAGGTCCCAGGGGTGGACTATAATTTCATTCCTGTTGAACAGTTTAAAGCGTTGGAAGAAAGTGGAGCCTTGCTAGAAAGTGGAACATATGATGGTATGTTACAAAATTTGAACACATGTACCTACAGTTTTTTATAAGAATGGGAATAAAGACCTGGAAGAATTTCATGGTGTTAGTGTCCAGTCTTTTTGTCTTGGGCTTGGTCTAAATTAGCAACTTATGTCGATATAACTACATCACTCAGAGGTGTGGAAAATCCACAACCCTGAGTGACATAGTTATACTGATCTAACTCCTGGTGTAGACTGTGCTGTGTCGATGGGAGGGCTTCTCCTGTTGATATAGATACCACTTCTCAGGGGGGTGGAGAACCTACGCCGATGGGAGAAGCCCCCCGTTGGCATAGGTAGCATCTTCGCTGGAGCGCTACAGTGGTGCAACTGTGCCGCTGCAGTATTTTTAGTGTAGACAGGTCCTAAATTTGGATCCGTGTGCTTGTGAGGAGTAATAGTGCTTTGCAAGGGCAGGGAAGCAGTATTCTCTCCATTGTATAGATGGGATAACTATGGAACAAAGTGGTTGTCTTGTCCCGGCTCACGCTGTGAGACAGTGACCCAGTATTAGAACCCATGTGTCCTGACATGTTCAGTTCACTTTAACACCTGTTGCTTTTTTAATATCATTGTGCTTTTCAGAGTCATCCTAAAAACTTTTATGTATGTTTGGTTGACATTTGCTTTAAATATATTTGTGGTCATAGTTCTGGGTTTTGTGTGAAAAGTTTTCTGCAGCTTTAATTTCTTGCCTAAGAGTTATTACATATATTATAAATTATTCCAAAGTTTTCTAGTTTTGTTGTCTTTCTGCTTTTAGTATTTTAGAATAGCCATAATATTTGCTAGAAGCTATCCCAGTTAGTCATTGGCTTTATTTTCATTACTGTTGTAGTGGTTTTGGGTGTGTTTGGTAATTTTTAATGAATCTCTCAGATAGGGATAGGTTTCAGAGTAGCAGCTGTATCTGCAAAAAGAAAAGAAGGACTTGTGGCACCTTAGAGACTAACCAATTAATTTGTGCATCAGCTTTCGTGAGCTACAGCTCACTTCATCGGATGCATTCAGTGGCCACAGTCGATGAAGTGAGCTGTAGCTCACTAAACCTGATGCTCAAATAAATTTGTTAGTCTCTAAGGTGCCACAAGTCCTCCTTTTCTTTTGTCAGATGAGGATGTTTCTCTAAATATATGATTTTTAGGTTTCATCACTAAGGCCCGACTCTTTTGAATTAAAATGTAAACACAATAGATGCCGGTTAATAGCAATCCTGGTACCATCAACTTCCAGTTAATGGCAACACGTTGCTGTGAACCGATCCCATCCTGCTCACACCAGTGTTAATGTGGTTTGAATAGTTGCAACACTGTGCTGCTTAGGAGCAACTTTTTTAAAGAAGGGCCCCACCTGCAGGTTGGTTTGTGCAGCTGCAGTCAGGGAAGGAAGTGCTGGGGCCTGCCTGTTTTGGCTGCAGCCCTGCAAACCTGCCTGCAGTGAGTACTCAGCCCATCCGTCCCAGCGCTTCCTTTTCGGGCTGCAGCTGGGCAAACCTGCCTGCACACGGGAGCCACACAGGACATAAGGGTCTGCAGGCCAGAAGGGGAGGCTATGGGCAGGCCATTAACAGGGAGTGGGCTGCAACCTGGATGCTGGAGTTGCACAGTACCTCTCCCTGCAGTCTCCAGGCCACTCCCTACCAGGGGACTGCATGCAGGGAAGGAAGCGCTGGGAAGCACAGAGCATGGGCCCCCCAGACAGCACAGGGAGAGGTATGGTGCAGCCTCATGGGCACTGAGCACCCCATGTCTCTGCAGAAAGCCTTGGCATGCAGGTGGCAGGCAGCCCCGCTCAACATTGGTGCCCTTCCCGCAACCAGGGTGCACCCAGAGAAGGTATGTCGCAGCACTTGATTTCACTCGTCATAATTATGACTTCAGGTGTTTCAGATCGCTGATCTGAGTGTCAGCCAACCTGGATCTGAATATATTATAAACATTACTCCTGGAGAGTGAGTTTGTGTGGGGGTGGGGGGGGGGGGGGGTGAGAAAACCTGGATTTGTGCTGGAAATGGCCCAACTTGATTATCATACACATTGTAAGGAGAGCGATCACTTTAGATAAGCTATTACCAGCAGGAGAGTGGGGTGGGGGGAGGTATTTTTTCATGCTTTGTGTGTGTGTATATAAAAAGATCTTCTACACTTTCCACAGTAGGCATCCGATGAAGTGAGCTGTAGCTCACGAAAGCTCATGCTCAAATAAATTGGTTAGTCTCTAAGGTGCCACAAGTACTCCTTTTCTCTTTGCGAATACAGACTAACACGGCTGCTCCTCTGAAACCTGTCATTACTCCTGGGGGGATTCTGCGGGACTGCGCACCCGCAGAAGATGGCCCCCCTGCAGATTTCCTGCATTTCCCTGCAAAAAACGGCAGGGAAGCAAAGGGAAGCCGCGTGGTGGGGGGTGACCATGGGCGCAGTTTTGGGGAGGATTGCCCTCCTCCAAACAGGCATGGGGGGGGGCATGGGGTTACATGTCACTGCCCCCACTCGTTCTGCAAGCGCAGAGCTGCCCAGCTGAAGGAGGCTGTGTCACTGCTCCACTGGCTGCAGCTGAACACCACCTCCTGGGTCCCAGTGCCAGTCATGCTCCCCTTCTGGGTGCTGGGAGCCTTCCTGTTTTCTATTCTGCACAACAGCTAGTGCCCGCGGTGGGGCTGGGTAAGGAGGGGTGGGGAAATGAGGGACGAGGCAGTGGAGAAGGAAGGGGGTGTGTGGAAAAGGGCTGGGGGAGGGGAATGTGGGAGAGAGGGGAGGGGGATGGAGAAGAAAAGGGGATAGGGGAATCGCGGGAGGGAAGCGGGAGCCCAGCATGCAGCATCCCCCGGCAGCAGCTGGGGCTCCCCTGTTAAGCAGGCCCATTGAACCCTCACTTTGACAAGCCCTACCCCCCAGTGCCTGGACCCCTTCTGGACCCCCAGCACCTGGGCCCCCCACAACCTGACCCTCCTGCTTGAGCCCATCTCCCCATACCCAGCCCCCTCCTCCTGAGCCCCAACCACCTTCACCTGGATCCCCTGCAGAGTCCCGTTGCCCCTGCCACTGGAACCCTGCCAACGAGCCCCTGTGCACCTAGATCCCCCACTGAGCCACCAGCATCAATTGCCCCAAACCTGGATGCCCCCCACACTTGGATCCTGCTGGACTGAGCCTGCCCACCCACACATGGTGCACCTGGTGCAGAGGGGCAAGGCCCCAGGGTGTTTCTGGGGCAGGCCCAGCCATTGTACTGTGTCAGGGTCTGGAGCAGCCTCACTGCAAAGTCTCTGTACCAGGAGAGGTGGGGGCTTCAGGGTCATCTCCCACCTCAGTGCAGCCAATGGCCTGTGCTCCCCACTGCCATGCTGGAGCCACATTTATTTATTGACAAATATAATTTGCAGAATTTTAAAATATTGTGTGCAGAATTTTTAATTTTTGGTGCAGAATTTTTAATTTTTTGGCACAGAATTCCCTCAGGACTAAAACATGTATAGACATGCATACACAATACTGCTTCTTTTGATAGACAAGTACAAATCACAACCTTTCCATATGATCCATCCTCTTCTTAATTAAATAGCTGTGGAAACACACATGATCTTTTTTCAGAGTAGCAGCCGTGTTAGTCTGTATTCACCAAAAGAAAAGGAGGACTTGTGGCACCTTAGAGACTAACAAGTTTATTTGAGCATAAGCTTTTGTGAGCTATAGCTCACTTCATCGGAGCTCTAGTCAACAACTACACAAAACAGATTACATAATCAAAGCCTGAATTAGGAAATTGTCTGAGCATGCTAAATCCTTTAATTACTATCACACCTTTTGTACTTGTAATTGTAAATTCTTCCCCATTTGGATATACCATTTCTTTAATTTTATTGTATAAAATATCTGCAATCTTAGTTGTGTCCTCATTTTCCCTTTTAATTGTAGTTTGTGTGTATTTCAGTAAGAAAAGCCTAGTGTGGTTCACCCCATTGGCCCTTCAAGCTACTACATGGATTCCTTTCCTTCTCCTGTGCACACGCATTGTACTGCCAGGGATCTTTCTCTGCACTCTCCCACTTTCTCCAGAGGCCTCTTCCCTGCCTGCTACTCTGTTCTTCTGGGTTTTGGTTTTTTTGCTTTTACAATTCAGGCCATCACAGTTAGTCTGCTGCTGTGGTTGCTGTTTGGGTCTTCTCTCTCTATTGTATCTCTGTTCATACTAGGGAACTAGGAATATTCAGCCTGTCTGGGTATCTAAAGCTAGGAAGGAAGGAGTAATTGTAGTGCGAGTAGACATGTGCTAGCTTTAATCTAATTAGTGCAGGTAACAATAACAGTGAAAACATGGCAGTACGGTTCCCAGCATAGGCCAGCAAAGTGAGTATGCCCCACAGTTCCACACTTGTACTGTTCTGAAGCCCATGCCTCCATGTCATCACTACTGTTGTTACCTGCATTAGCGAGATTAAAGCTAGCAATGGTTGGCCTATCTACTGTTACAATAACACACTAATTTGTGCTGTTGACATATCTTAAGTGGCTGCCTGTGTGTGAGTGGTTATGGTTGAAAACTGTTCTAAACATAGGGCCACAGGAAGCAGTTAATATTAGAAATATGTTCTAATATTTGTTAAACTGTAGCTGAATAATTTTGACCTTATGCGGGTCAGACAAGGCTTTTCTCTTTCAGTATGAGTTACTAAAGTTAATTTTCCTGTTTCCACCCTGAGAAAACCTGGATTTGTGCTGGAAATGGCCCACCTGTTGATCACTTTAGATAAGCTATTACCAGCAGGACAGTGGGGTGGGAGGAGGTATTGTTTCATATTCTCTGTGTGTATATAAAGTCTGCTGCAGTTTCCACGGTAAACATCTGATGAAGTGAGCTGTAGCTCACGAAAGCTCATGCTCAAATAAATTGGTTAGTCTCTAAGGTGCCAGAAGTACTCCTTTTCTTTTTGCGAATACAGACTAACACGGCTGTTCCTCTGCATCCTGAGCAGGAATCCTCAGTCACTGACTAGGTCCATTAATACATTTCATCTTCCTAAAGTATTTAACTAGGCATAGAACTAGCTAAAGTATAGGGGTGATATGGTTAATATCCTTTTGCTCAAGGACCAGACAGGCATGGGCTCTGTTTTTAAAGATGATGGCTACAGTAGCTAAATCAAGGTCTCAGATGTAAACCCTTTTTTATATAACATCATAACCTGGCTCCTCTTAAGTTTTTCTTCTGGATTGAAACCTGGTGTTGAAAGTTTCTAATCAGGAGCAATGTATTTTAAAAATATAGATATATATTAGTTGTAAAATTTGTTTTTACAATAGATTTAAAACATCCTTGTTTAGGTATCCTTAACTCAAATAAATATTTTTTTTCAAGAAAAATCTGGCGCGCGTGCGTGTGTGCGTGTGTGTATATGTATATATATATATATGCAGATGAAAAGTAAAGTAAAAAGGCTACTTGTATGCATAAAAATTTCCACTAGAAATATCTGTATTAATATAGATTATGTAAATTTCAAGTGATTACTTCAGTGACTAAAGCTTCTTCAAGAGTAAACACATTCTAGAAATTGTATAAAACCTTTTCTGTGTAAAAGATGATGAAACTTGTAAAGAACTATTATGATTTATTGGACATTTTCTTGAGATTTAATTCTTCACTAATATGAAAAATAAAATAAATGAAAAGGTATATTACTGTTAAAATAACCAAAAGAAGGACATTCTTTGACAGGCTCTCTAAGCCAAGCTCTTTTGATTGTGCCATGGTTTTGCAGCACATACAGTATGCACAATTGCCCAGCATCTGGAGATCCCCTCACCAACTAGACTTTAACAAGCCAGGCTAACCCGAAGCTTTCACCTTAACTCCCATTTTCAGTTGACGCCTCATCCTTAATGGTATTTGAATATAGGGGATTTTATTTAATATTTTATGCAGTCAAAACAAAATCTATCTACCAAATGTTAACCCAGCAGGAGTCCTGCTAAGCTCTGTGCTCCACTCCCTAATTAAAATCACATGATTGAATAAGAGGAGAAAACCAGTTATTTAAATTCTGTTTGAGCGTTTATTTTATTGGGAAAAAATGCTGATCCTTTGAACTTATACAACATATTAGAATCAAAATGTTTTCAGTTTTCTCAGGTATAATTCAGTATTGCATTGATTTATTAATAGCTTTATTAGGTAAGAAAATTATCAGCTGAAAACACAGGATTACAGCTCTAAGAAATCATTTTTTAAAATTGCTTTTGTGCAAATAGATATTTTGCTTTTCAGCACAAAATTAATTTGCTTTTTAGCTTCAACCTGCTTACAGGCTGCAAGTTACTCCAGATTAGTTAATTACTATATATATTTGCTGTACATTAGAACAGAAATTATTTTGATTGTCAAGGTAATCCTCTACTTTACTCCTACCAAGCTCTGCTATAAATCTCATTCTGGAGCATTAGTGAATGCAAGATAAAATAACAGATCAGTCTCTAGATTTGGAAACATGTGTAGGGCAACCACTTCGGAATTAAATGCATTATACCCAGATGTACAATGACAGCATTAGCAGAAGTACAGTGTAGCTGTAAATTCCAGTTTTTGAGCATTCACCAGTTACTGATAATGCTGATGTCTTAAGTAGTGTAGTAAATTACCTTTTCATTCAGGTATTTCATAAAACTGTTACTGTGGCAGTAGAATATGTACTATGACTTGAGCCATTCCTGTGATTGTCGAGATCTTTACCAGATATCACTGCTTCTGTTTTGTACCATCTGTTTCTTAATGACAGGTAATTTCTATGGTACCCCAAAGCCTCCAGCAGAGCCCAGTCCCTTTCAGCCAGACCCAGTGGATCAGGTTCTTTTTGACAATGATTTTGATGCAGAATCCCAGAGAAAAAGAACCACTTCGGTCAGCAAGATGCAAAGAATGGATAGCTCTCTCCCTGAGGAGGAAGAGGAGGAAGAGAAGGAAGCAGTTAATGGCAGTGGAGGTGCAGGTCAGTTACAAGGGGAGAAATTCCTGACTGCAGTCAAGATTTTAATCAATCAAATTGTCACTCTGAAATTTTCAGATTAACTTGGGTAAAAGCACTGTCACATGATCCGAAAACTAGGTGAAGGAATGTGCAGAGCAAGTGATAATGAAGAACAATGCATTGAAACTGGAACAAAGTGTCCAGTGGGATGTTGCAAAGATTAGTCTGAGATCCTATTCTTTTTAATATCTTTATTATCTCAAAAGAGGGACAGCCAGCACATTAAATGTGCAAATTATGCTGCATCTAGGCATTTCTTGTAAGTCACCTGTGCAAGTATGGATCTGGCCCAGTATTGTTTACCTTCAGAGCTGAAAGAATAAGAGCGTAGGTGATCTGGCTGCAGTCCATTTTAATTTGTCACAAATACAGAATCTTAAAACTGAGGTTATTGGCAATGGTTTCTAAACTGAAGTGCTTAAATTCCCACTATTTACAACCTGCTGCACTGTTGTTTTCCTCATATCACTCACTGTAGTTGTGGTCTCAATAGTTGGGTCTTGATACACTGAGAGGGATGATGGTGTGGATTCTCTAATGCTGTTCTCTTTGATAGGAAATGCAGTAAGTCGTCTACCTAGATGTGTTCCATTGTTGTTTTTTTCAGCCTAGGCTCAGACAAGTATGAGGTTAATGCTGTTTGGCAAGGGAAGAACAGAACTCAGTGTGTTCACTTCAGTTTTTTAAAGTTCACAGCAGAAAAAAATGTAGTCGAAAAATACCGATAAAATACAGTGGTGTTTGGCATTCTCTCATACTGAGAGCAAAAGGGGTGGTTCTTTGTGAGCAAAGCAGCATGAAAATCTTAACCGTAACACTTTGCTTTAAACAACTTCAGAAAACAAAGAGAGACATTCAGATTCTTCTGACTGGATGAAGCCTGTTCCTAGTTACAACCAGACAAGCAGCTCCATGGATTTCAGAAATTACTTGTCAAGAGATGAGAGCCTAGAGCCTCTACCCAAGAACTGGGAGATGGCCTACACAGACACAGGCATGGTCTACTTCATAGAGTAAGTAGAAGTTTGCATCTTTATAGATTTAATGTATCTTCCTGAGATGCATGAGCACTGAGAGTCTCTAGTCACAGTCTCTCGAGATAGTTCTGCTGATTTTTATATATCTTCCTCCCTACCCACTTTTTATTCCTGATGTCTTTGCACGAAAATATAATCTTCTGGTTTTGAAGTCGCAATCTGTTCTCACTCAGTGATCCTCACCAAATGTTGCCAGTTTTGTGTGTTTGATTTCATAGTGGTTCCTGTGAAGATTATAACAATGCCACTTAGAGAGGACAGTGATGTTGATTTGAGGAATAAGCTGCAGGAATTTTATTTTCATATATATCTGTATCTATCACAGTATCCCTATTTGGTGTCTCCAGCATTTTCATCCAAGTAGCTTTTCCTTCCTATCAGTCTTCATAGATGGATGCTTTCACAGCTATCTTAGCTACCATATATAGGGACTTCAGTGTCGTGTTTATTTTCATGGGGAAAATGTAGATGGGTAAAGAATCCATGTAAATGCTATTAGTAGGATAGTGTTTTGTGTCTGAATAAATTAGGTGGAAAAGCACAATGGTTCCATCTACAAAGTCAGTTAACTTATTTATGATGTGAATTCTGTATCACAGAATGCACAGCTCAGGTTCTGTGTTACTAGCTGGATAAAGGTCTAATTTTATGTGTACTTTTACTATGCAAACTTTCATTGTAATCCATGGGATTTCCCTTATTCTCTCTGTTCTGCCTGTGATCTCTGGTATGAAATAGAATGTGAAAAGCAGCTACCAGAATGTGTAATAGTCTGTTTCATGAATTGTAAAGCATCAGACTACACTGACGGCTAAGCACAGGCAGAAGTTAAGGGTTTTTTCCCCCAAGGTGAAAAATATCTATCCTCAAAATGATTTTTTGCAGTAGCTTCAATGGTAAATGTATGAAAGCGTTTGTCATACTTTGTAGATGGAAAAAAATATTGGATGGAGAAGAACTTTATGCTGAGACTGTGCTGCCTAATGCAGATGTATAGGGCAGAGTTAGAAATCCCTGAGTAAAGGGTTTATAATCACAGCGTCAATAGACCTGAGATAAAGAATGGTTTCTGGATAACTCTGCTCAGTTATGTTACTGTTATCTCAGAGTTAACATGTACCATATGTTCCTGCAGTGCAATGATAAGTACTTCTTGTCATGGAAGAGCAAAATCACTAATCTTGCAAACTCACTGGCAATTTCTTATGTGGTTTGGTTCAGAATGGTAGCGGCCTTTACATCTACTTTCATATTGTGACTTCTTAAAATATCTGTTTTCTGGAATACTTAGGTTGTATTAACTTTTTAACAGCCATAAGATGTTCTTTTACGTCTTATCAGTTTTTCTCCATTACTTTTCCCATGGCTCTTTTCATGATCAACCTATTTTCGAGGTGGTGTCAAACATCTTAAGAAAAGTTTTGTGCTTTTTAATATCTATTTCCCATAATTAAATTTTTAAAACCAGCTAAGGAGAAAGTATGTATTTTGGGTCTGTTCTGATGAGAACCAAAAGGGACAGGTGTATTTAGTGTGCTCTTATTTCATTGGTTCTGTTTGTTCTCTATTTATATATACGTCTACACAGTTCTGCAGAGCCGCTGAATTCAGCTCCAGGCACAAGCTGCATTGACTATTGAGAGATCCAATATTTTTTGATAGATGAAACCTCGACTTACCTCACTCCCAACAAACCTGCTACTTTTAGAGTGAAACTGTGGCTGTGAATACATACCTTTGAAATATTTTTTACTGCTCAGAAACGTTTGCACCGCTGTAACCTCCCATGTCCCAGTGGTACAGAAAAGCCTCGAGTATGTTCGTTATATTTAAGTGGTGCCTTTCCTAGGTCGCATTTTTTGATGTGACAGAGGTGAGAACAGCAGGTACGCTGATCTAGAGGCAAAGATTTGCACGTGGAAGGAAACTTATGAAGAGAAGTGCTAAGTATAATAGGTTAAATCCCTTCCTTGGGAGTCTTTTTCGTCTCTCTCCCTTTATCTCCTGCTGTTTTTCTGCTCCTGATTGGGTTGTCCTATATTCCACAGTCACAACACCAAGACAACTACTTGGCTTGATCCTCGGCTCTGTAAGAAAGCCAAAGCTCCTGAAGACTGTGAGGATGGAGGTGAGATGTTCAGAATTCTGTCTGTCTGCTATATGTAATGCATGTTTGGATGTTGTTTTTCCTACTTGAAAACCAGACTCAAATGGTGTCCAATTAGCATGTTATCAGTAGAGCTTATGAATGCACAAAGTATGGCTCTGGTTAGGAGTTTTGTTTCAAAGACTTCATTTCTTCTTTGCCATTTGGGACTAACCAGACAGATCAATTTTACCTGGAATAGGAGTTTACTTATGCTCTTGTTTCAAGGTCAAGTTCATCTGAAACCAAATAGGATTCCTAATAAAAAATGGGATGTATCTGCTTGTTTACCAACCAAAACTAGTCCCGAGTCCTGTGGAACTGGCTGTCTAATTTCTTTGACTTGATTCATGAAGGGACTTTCTGTGGGATGTGGTAGTAATGAATCCTTAAGCACTTTGGAAAGTCTTTTCCTTATGCATACTACATATTTTATATCAGGTTCATCTTCAGGGAGATCTGGGTTGTTCCTAAGAATGTCCTCTGCACTGATGGGAGAATTAAGTCGTTTGGGGATCTTCGGATAATGCTGTTTGTGACTGTCAGATGTCCCTTATGGAGTCACTTCCAGGGTTCTTTACAATTTGATAAGATCTATCATTGCCAAGACAGAAGTTTCTGCCTGAAGTGTATAATTTGTATTCTTTCTACATTATTTTGAAACCATTAGGGTATGGAGTTAAGTGCCTATGGCTTGGCAGCAGTGGTAGAATGACTGGGCTTGAGAGTGGCTTCAGTGTATTTTCACTGGAACAATGGAGTTTAAGTGAATTGTGGATACACACAAATTCTGGAGAGCAGAATGACACATTACTTGATTCTAAATTCACTGTAACCACTGAGGGGAAAGACCTGGGCATCTTTGTAGACAGCTCAGTGAACACCATTGTTCAAATGTGCAAGGGAAAAGCCCCTAAATACTAGAATGCATAGATGATGGGCTACAATATAATACTGAAAGTACTGCCTTGTCACTTTATATCAGTAGTAGGCTCTCACCTGAAATACTCTGTTCAGTTTCTGGTTGAGAGAAAGAAGTGAAATTTTATTAGAATAATGGAAAAGCTTTTGAGGACAATGTGGAAAAAATTAGGGATACAATAAGTGTACAAAATAACAAACCGTAAACAAAAGGTAAATCAGGTGCTCCCTTTTACCCACTGTCATAATACAAGAACAAGGGCACTTTGGGTTAAATTGAAGGTAGCAGATTTAAAGGCGATAAAGGTAAATACAATGTATAATTAACCCATGAAAAACTCATTGCCCCTAAAGATTATTGGCGCCAAAATCTTAATAAAATTTTTACAAGAATTGGACATTTGTATGAATGAGAAGATCCAATTACATTAGATAGAATTTTTTTTTAGAAGAGATATAAATACTCATGCTTTAAAGCATAAGCAACCCCTAACTAAGTTTAGGAAGAAACTTCATTGTCTAGTAAGAGATTTCTGTACCATCCTCTGAACCTTCTGCTATTGGTCATTGTTGGAGACAGGATTCTAGACTACGAGAACTTCTAAGATAAGTGGTAGTCCCACAGTGAAGGGATGGAAGAGCCTTTGGACTTCATCTGAATTGACCCTTAATTGGGCCAGGTGCAGGAGGCATAAACCAAGCTACAATAGGTGGCTTTATTATAGGAGTATTTTAAAATCTCTGAAGCAGTTGCACGTTTTAAGCATCAGTGTCGTCTTATTTCCATTTAGGAGGGAGCCTTAAAGTATATTATAGTTTATAATCAAGATAGGCATCTGTATTAGCAAGTTTGAAAATAATTAGCCTCTTTTTAGATACTAGAAAATACGATAAGATTTTCAAAGAAATCCTCACAATCCTCTCCTATCCCTCTGGCATCTCAACCCTGTCTAAATTAATTTGACTTTAACATTTCCCTGTTTGTCTGGTTTCATGTGGATAATTTTTCAACAGAAGTGCGAGTCCCTGATATGTGGAAGTGTCCTGGAGAATTCATTTTGCCTAAGCTGTCTCATGTCTCCCAGTGATGGCAGAGCTTAAACCTTCACTAAATAAAGCTTAAAGGGGGTGAACGCTGACAGAATTTTACTGCTTCACAGAGTGACAGAGATGTTTGAGAATCATAATCTAAGCAGGGTTCCATAGTTAAAGTGCTTGTCAGTCATGCTTTTTCTTCAAGCAAAATCCTATCAGTTAAATAGAAAAGAGGTAAATGCCAAGCTGCAGTACCAAACTAGCTACCTAATTTTGTTAGTAATGATTCATTGCCGTTGGGAATGTGTTGTTGAAATAATGTGGCTAGCAACTGGTGCTTTAGTTCCATGGAAGGATGCCTTGTTGTTCTGCAGTCACTGTTAGGGGAAGGAGGAGTCTGAGATTTTTGTCCTGTGTGTGGCAACGCTTGGACTCAGCCTGTTCCCCAGTGATACAGAATTTCCATAGCTAATGATTCTCAAACAAGAACGCTCTAATCCTGACCCCTGTGTGTATCATTATCTGTAGCATTCCCATTGATCGCAGCTGCCATGGTGAGTCAGACAGAATGAATTTGTCTGTGAAATAATGTTGGTCTATCCCAAGGATGGGCAAACTATGGCCCGGGGGCTGCATCCGGCCCTTCAGATGTTTTAATCCGGCTCTCAAGCTCCTGCCAGGAAGTGGAGTCTGGGGCTTGCCCCGTTCCGGTGCTCCAGCCAGGGAGCGGGGTTGGGGGCTTGTCCACCCCTGGTCTAGCCCATTCAGGGCTTTAAAGAGAGAGGCTAGTACCAAAACTGTATCAGCATTCAGACCATAGTTGTCACTAGCAAAATCTTGAACTAACTTCCTTCCATCCAGATTCCCATCTCCTTAAGAGAGTGCAGTAGCAGGGATACATTCTTTCCATTTTAATATGGACCCTTAATTACTTCAGTACAATATTTTCCATACTAAATCCAAGATACTTCTAGTCTTACTTTTCAGTTTTCTTGCACCCCAACTGGCTTTTTAAAAATAATGCGTATTCACTATCTTCTCTAATATGGGACAATGCAGGGAACTGATGGGGTGGTTGGCAGTAGGTAACTAAGGGTTGCCCTCCGTCATAATTTTTGATTTTTTGGGGAGAGTATAGGAACCTACTTGCATTTGTTTCTGTTCACCTCTTGCACCAAGACTTCACACTGTGAATCTGATCTGTGAGAATGTTGGTGGTAATCAGCCTACAGGCAAATCCTGCAGATGCTTGCAAGGCAGTAGTGCAGTGTAGACAGCCAATAAAATAAAAATGTACAGAGAAGCAGTCTCTGCAGCAAACATCTCCCGTGTTACAAGAGTCAATAGGCACTGAGGCAAGACTGAAAACAGCCTCTTATTCTCCTAAATCTATTCTTAATGAAGCCAGTTTGAGCCACTGCCTCATACTGCTGCTTTATTAAACATACGTGAAGCCCCCCACTGGGAGAGGATGGGATAAAAAAAGGCATTTTAAAGAGAAAGATGCAGGACATCCTAATGAACAGCACTTAAACAAATAGTCCCTCTGGGGCATTTGTCAAGTTCCACTGAGCTGTACTGATACTCATAATTGGTAACATGCTGCCACATGCTAAGAAAATTCCTGTTACCTTCAAGCCTGGGGCAGCCACAAACAACAAACAAAATAATGACACAGAAATCTTACCCTTCAAAACAATCCAGACATCTGAAAGAAAAATAAAAGGCAATTTGTGGTCCAAATGGAACAATATTTCTATTTTGTCTTAACTTTCACACCAAGCTCCTTTTCAAACCGCGTTTCCATATTTACATTTCTGTGCTCAAATTAGAGTAGCAAAGCTGTAGCCACCAGGCCTGTGTGGTGACAGCTTGTTGCAGTCAACCAGTAATGCTCTGGTTCTAGCCGCTGCCCTACAAGAATTCGAATTTAGTTCAGAAACGAGGGAGCTTTCTGATTTTTTTCTATGCTGGTTTCAGTATGAATGTTTATTTTGTAAAGATTTAATTGCATTTTGCACACCACTTTCAGAAGATGGGATCATTAATTTCCCTCCAGATTTGTTGCTCTGGAGACTTGGATTCAAACAATAACAAACACAAATGGAAATGAGTTTGGGGTGATGTCTTTTCAGTCTTCACTTGTCCTTGTCTCCACTGTACTGCCTCTTTGATCCTGATTCAGGAGCCTAGGTGTAAAGTAGCAAGGAGTGCAGGTCAGGACTGCGGTGCATTGGGAGAGCTAGGTGGGGAGACTGACTGGAATGTTGCAGGTCTGGCTTGAAATGCAGGTGTTAAGGGGATGTGTGTGTAAAATTGGAATAACGAGGGGGTTGCAGGTCAGAATTTAGGTCCCTTGGCAGAGGTTTCTGGAAGCACATGACTGGAATAGCATGGTCCCACAATTCAGGGCTGAGATGGATTGAAAGTGCTTCTTTGGGAAAAGCTTCAATATCTCCTTTCCACGCTATGGGTCAGCCATAGACAGTGCTATCATATAGTTACAGATTGGGGAGTTAAAAACAAAACTTCACAGATGAAACTGGTTATTTATAATTGGCTTAGTCTAATAAAATGAGACCTTTATCTTTCTCTTCCTCCTTTTGTTACTTAAGATATTTTTGTGCTTCACTTTGAAGCTTGTTAAAACTTAATTTTTTTCTTTAAAATGCAAGTCTCCTCCTCCAATGGACCAGTGAGTACAGGGGGGCCCATTTTCCCTCTGGGAAATGCAAGCACTCAATTCATGGGAATATATAAATTGCTTTCATATTTCTGACACAGTCAGTCCATAAGCTCTCCACTCATCTTTTTTTCACATGAATGTTGACATTTTCAAATACTTTTCCATTATAGTGCAGAATTTTGTTCATTCTTCTGTTCCAATTACAGAACTTCCTTATGGCTGGGAGAAAATAGAAGACCCTCAGTATGGAACATACTACGTCGAGTAAGTGTTTACACCAATTATTCACTTCATGTGGACATCAGATATGGTAGAGAATAATTAAACAGTTGCTATGTAATAAATGCAAATTGTCTCTAAGGTGCCACAAGTACTCCTTTTCTTTTTGCGAATACAGACTAACACGGCTGTTCCTCTGAAACCTTTAATGACTATGTATCCAGTGCAAATTAAGAGCCAGTTCTGGTGGCCGTAACTGAATTGTGCACTATTCCTGTGTGTTAATATGTAAGATAATGTGTGTAGCTTCCCTTCACACTAAGTAAGATGCATCCATCTATCATCTGGAGGGGAGGAATCAAGTAGTAACCATTGTCCTGGGCTGGAAACCAGAGTGCAGCAAGTAAGCAGTAGGATTCACTTTGCTTCTCTGGCTCATACATGTCTGTGACTTTTCTTTTATAACTAAGAGTTATGATAGTTTGTTACAACAGTAACTTTATCTGGCATTAGTGATTTTGCCCAAATGGTTGAATCTTTCTTAATATCCTTATTATAAAAACTGAAGATGCTGAATGTATGTTTAAAGAGATCAGAGCATGTTTCTGTTCTGAAATACCTTTAAAATGGAGCCTCTCGATTAAAACAGTAGCGCCTGCTATTCACAAACCAATGGGAAATTGCTTTCCCCTCATTCTTGGGTTCCAAAGCAAATCCCTAAACTACTGTGACTGGCTTGCTCAGCTTCAGCTCAGGCTGAATGAAAACCACCTTCAATCATCAAGAGAAAAATTAGCGGAGAATTGAAAATATTAGCATTTGTTGGATAAATGTTAGTGAGATCTCTGCAGAGCCAGCACTGTTGTTTTAATATTGTCCAGGCTAATAAATATTTTGGTACTTCAGTTCTGCTTTCATGTTTCAGTGTTCAGCAACAAAGACAACAAATACCATGGATGTATGGAAGCAGCATCCACTTGGTGTCAGGAGAAGAAATAAATGTTTGCTTTGCTAAGCAGTTCTCTTTTTACCCAATATTATGGTCTACAGCAGCTCTTTTGAAATGTGCAAAGTGATGTTAAGATAAATAATATGCTTATATTACTCAGAGTTCATCCTGTCACTCCAAAAGCAGCCTCAAAAGTCAAGGCTGAATTGTATAGTTGTTTCTGTTTCGAGAAATTAGTAGTTGGAGTATGCTTCAAAGGCTTAATCTTTGAGCTCCTCATGAGGAGATGGTTGGTCCTGCACCTGAACAAGAAACTATGGCATTGTCCTGAATAACTAGTTAACAAGATATTTAAATATTTTTAACCAGGTTTTCTTTCCTGCAGTGTTAGTTGAAATTCCTTTGGTTTTGATAATCTGATTTTTCATCGTAGGTGTTTCTTTTAATTTTTCTCTCTGTTTAGATAATGAAAATAGGCTACTCATTTTCACTTTCTTTGCTCTCATGAATTAGCACAATGCTGTTGTGTTTGAGTTGCACATACTACAGGGGAACAAGCTATTAAGATTAGGCTTTGTATAACTTTTTAAATTAAACTTTAAATTTTAGTTCTCAATTGCGATTGTCCTTTGAGAGAAAGGAGCAGAATATATGGATTTCTGTAATTTAATGGCTATGATGCTGACCCTTAAATATATTCAGTGCTGTAGAATTTACATTGTATGTTTATTCTTAAGCAAAAACAGTAATTTCCAAGAATCACATTTTATTGTATTAGCAAACTGGATCATATTTATAAAAACTACAATAAAAGAGCAAAATCTTAAAGGTACATAAAATTCAAAGAATGCTTTGAAAGAGAGAGAGTCATAACACAAAAATATAAACATTAGAATTTGGACAGTCACAGGGGAATGAAGATTTACCGCCCCCAAAAAAAACACAAAAGGTTTTTTCAACGTTGAGCTGTCCTTTTATGTTTACTCTTGTGCTGAAATGAAGCAATGTGAGCTTGCACATTACAGCATTCTTTGATACAGTATGGTAATCACTATTAGGGATCTGACAATGTTTGGCAATTGAATCAAGGAGAATTTTGCCTTGCTAAGGAGGTACCGATATCTCAAAGTCTGGGGTTTGCACTTTCTATGAATGCAAAGTTACAATAAAATGTTAACATACTACATTGTACATTACTTATTACTTATTCAGGATCAGGTTAATATTCATAGAACCTGACTAAAGGAGCTGGCTTGCTGGCTGGGGAGCCCTCCTTCTCTGAGTTAAAAGGGTAACCATATTTCTGAATACCGATCTTCTTTTTGGTACTTCTCTTGTGTACACAGTTGGTGTGAAAGCTTTTCCATTACAAGGACAGTCCACATTTTACTATACCAGAATTCCATAGGAGAAGTCACATTTTTCCAATAATATGCAATATAAAGTCTGTTTAAAATGTAGATCCTTTATGGGAGCATTAAGTAAGCAGGTCAGGGGATCTCTGGAAAGCTGGCCTTTTTCTTATAAAGTTAATCTCTTTAATAATTTCCTCTGCAAACCATCGAATTTATGGACACAACCACCACATGTGCATGTATGTTCCCCTATCCCTGCAACCCCTCCAAACAGAGTGCCTCCCTAGTAGCAAAAATACAGTGAATCCTAACCTGAGTCAAATACCAACTATTCAGTAATTTGTAAAAATTTTCTTTGTGAGCTACACAAATTGAAAATATATATCCACTTTCCCATATAGAGACCCATTAATCTAGATCAATTTCTTTGTCCAGCTCTCTCTCCTATTTTTTCAGCTGGGTTGTTTCCTATCAATATCTTTGTCAATCAAAATGGTAGACATCTTAGAAATTAAATCTCTTGTTCCAGCTTGCTCCTGGGTCAACTCCTCAGATATGCTTAAAGATCTAGATAGAGCCGTCTTATATCCAGATTTCACAATAAGGTGTTTGACTTGTAAATACTGAAAATACAGGATCTTTCTATTATTTACTTTATTACATATCTCTTGGTATGATCTTAAATCAGGATCCAGGATCAACTGTCCAAACTGAGGAATGTCAGCCCTTACCCAGAATGAATAATCACTTTGATATTTCCTAGGGATAAATTCGTGATTATTAATGAAAATAACTGAGGGAGAGGGCTTGGCGACAGGAATTTTAAAAAGCTAAGGTGGGCTGGATGAATGGGTGGCTTTTATTTTTGGTGAGCTAAATTTATTTTTAACCCAACAATTACTATAAATAACTGTATTTTGGCTACAGTCTTATTTGAGCTTTACCCAGTGTTTGGATGGTCTGTTGTTAACCCGGTTGATCGTATCTTTTAATTGTGATGCATAATAATAATAAGCCAAATTAGGGAACGGTCGTTCACTAGACTTTGTAGACTTACTCGGGTTTCAGAGTAACAGCCGTGCTAGTCTGTATTCGCAAAAAGAAAAGGAATACTTGTGGCCACAAGGTGCCACAAGTACTCCTTTTCTTTTTAGACTTACTCAGAACTTCAGAACTCACCCTTTGTCTTTTGTGTTCCCATATGAATTTTAATAGTGCATCTTGCTCTGTTTTTAGTGGCATGACGGGGATAACAGTAGGGGGATGCACTGAAACAAAAAATAGTAACTTGGGGAGGACATTCATCTTACTGAGGCTACACTATCTAGCCAAGAAATTTCATATTTGTTCCATTTCTCCAAATCTTTTATTATTTTCTGCCACAGTGGAAGGTAATTTGCTTTAAAAAGATGTTTGTTTCTCTACAATATTTATTCCTAAAAAGTTTAAAGATTCCTTTACCCATTTAAATTTATGTAGCTGACAACAGTTTGTTTCGGCCCTTTAGGGAATATTAATTTCTAAAATTCCAGATTTATCATAGTTTATTTTGATGCCTGATAACGGCTCAAATTCCAACATCAATTGTTGTGTAATTTTTAATTACACTTGTAGATCCTGCAAATATAACAAGATATTGTCAGCATATAACACTACTTTCTGTTTTAAACATTTTGATGCCTTTAACCAAGGGGCTGTTTCTCACATATATTGCAAATGACTACATTGACAGAACAAGCAACGGGGGGCAACCCTGTCTTGTACCCCTAGACAAATTAAAAGGAGGGGATTGAAGTATACGAGTAGAAAACTGGTTTCCAAAACTAAACCTTACCAAAATCTGCCTGAGGTTCTCCCACTACAAAGGTCAGTGGTTTCTCAACATCCAACAAAAGAATTGCTAAAATTAACACTATAGATGAAATGCAGAGTTCTTCTGACATTACCAGATAGATGCCTGCCAGCAATAAACTCACCCCAGGTGAACACATTTGGGCAAGATGACACTCAGTCTGTTTGCTAGCACCTTGGCATAGATTTTAACAGTCATATTAATTAAAGAAATAGAACGGTATGATGCCCAGTTGCTAAGATCTTTTCTTTGTTTAGGAATGACCACAATTTTTGCTGCTTTCCCTGAATCTGGAATCTCGTTCCCCTCCAATCTTCAGTTAAAATAGGGACCGATGCTTGCTTGTGGAGCTTTGTAATACTCACAAGAAAACATATTGGGACCTGGAGGTTTATTAGATTTTAATTTCTTAATTACATTTTCAACTTCCTCTGCAGCAATTTACCTGTCAAGCTGCCACATCCTCCTCAGAGCTGAGGTAGCCTCACACTTCTCCATTACTATTTATAAATTCAGGATTTGGATGTTCTGAAGTGTACAAAGTGTTGGAAAAGTTAGCAAAGATTCCAGCAATCTGTTTGATGGCAGTTATTGAATCTCCCTTTTTATTTCTAATCAGAAGGGTGGCTGACTTATCCTGTTCCTTTTTTTTAAACTTTCCGGCTAAAAGCCTATCAGTTTTATTGTCCTTTTCAGAGTATTTGTTTGCTCAGCCACACTCAGTTGTAACAGGTTAATCTTCCCTCTTACCTCAATTATTTTCTTATACACTCTTTTAGATCCTGTAGCTTTACATCTGCCTACCAAAACAGAAAGTTCTTTAATCAAACTCTCTTCTTCAAGAGCTCTTATTTTTTTAAGGTATGATGCTTTCTTTACAAGGATCCCT